TGTACACTGACACTAGGTGTGCTGCCCCAGCAGTCACACGCTCCCATACTGTCTCCACTCGTCAAGGCTGGTCCTTTGGCTCAGCCAGGACATTTCCAGTATCTCCCAGGGGAACTTCAGAGGAGCAAGATGCTGCCAACAATAAAAACATGGCCAGGATATTCTGATATACTGAGAAAACTATTGCAGGGCAGGATTCATCTCACTTGGCATTGGATGGTACCAAGCAGACGTCTAAGCTGCCTCAAACCCTGTTTTATCAATGGAGGGACTGGCATTACTGGAGCATGAACCATCTGACTAATCACACCCTAGAAGTGTCCATGTCCTAACATGGGTGCAGACACTGTTTATGGAAATAAGCCCAAGCATGTCAGGCTCTGAACATGGTGGCAAGCCAAGAAACCATGTCGGAAATGATCCTGAGCTGACCTGTTGTTTGTATGTATTTCAAGAGGAGGTGTGTACGAGACTTTCCCTCCTGAATGTCTCCTGGGCTTTCTCCTCCTTGGCAGCCAAAGAAAGTATCTCCTCTTCATCTAGCAAAGAACATGAATTTGTTCCAAGTGCAAAGCAACCCCAAGACTTCCATGAGAGTAACGGCCTCGGTAACAAGCACGACAGCCATAAGCCCTATGCAAGAAGTGGGCTGTGCACACAGGTGCGATGGGGACACCGGGCAGGGCTAGCACCCTCTTTGGCCTGTGCTCAAATGTGCCGCTACGGTCCCCGCAATAGGCCTTGCTCTGCAGAGCCAGGCGGTGCAGAACGCAATCCAAGTCTGAGCAGAAGCTGCCTTCGCTTGCCAGGGCCCATTTGTTTGGGTGGTATGTCATCCCAGACATGATCCCTTCAGGAGAAGGAAGGATTTTTAGACATTGAAATAACTGACTGGCTGGCACACAGCTCCCTGCTTCTTTCTCCCATTATTTTTTAGAGCTCCAGCTGAGCAGAGCCTTTCAGTATGCAGGGTAGCACCAGCCACTCCAGCAGAGCTGCTCATGGGACACCAGCTAAGTGATGCTGAGAGGCCTCCTGGATAGACCGTGCTCCTGCTAACACCGCGGCATTGTCACTTTGGGCCAAGTCCCTTTGCTCCTAGCCCCACTCCCTGCAGGGCAGCTGCCCCCAGCTAACCACTCCCTCCCTTAGCAGCATGCACTGATGAGACATAGCTCCTGGCAGAAAACTCTTCCCTGTGGACCTGATTTATTAATAGTTGAAGGGGGAGCAGCTCTCGCCCCTCTTTCCGGCTTACACACTAGATATCAACTTGGCAGCTGGCAGGAAATCCCATTAAGGCAGCAAGATACTTAAAGGCATCAGCAGCTCCTGGCCCATTACAAGAATGAGGGGATAGACCCCCATAATGTACATGCAAAACTGGTCGCATCCAACCGGAAGCAAGGATCCTACCAAGATAAATATTAATAGAGTCTGCAAAGGCAGGGATGGGAATAAGCTCATTCATTAAATGACTTTGTCCATATTCATGGGACCAACACAGGATTTTAACAGAGGAAACAGCAACAAGAAAACCCATGATGAAACTCCCCATATATTTATTTCCCTTTTGCATCAAAAGAATTGAATTCACAGATAGCCCATCATGCCTAACATTTCCTTCCTAACATGCCAGCCCATTAAAGCCCTGGCTGGCTTTTACATTTTTTAGATGAAAAAGGTGGAAGGTGGATGAGCAGAAGCTAAAACCAGAGCAATAATTTCCTCTGTGGATCTGTTACAGCTGTGCATATCTGATCTGCAACAGCTCTGTTTATTTTGCTTGTCCTGGAAACTGCAACAGACAACAGCATGGCAGCTCTGGGAAACCTTGAGGTGCACCCACTACTGGCAGAGAGAAGACTACCAACCCTTCTTTCCCGTTAGGTTGTGCTGTGATGGCAAGCTTGCTCTCTTAACAAGCCTCACTGCTGCTCCATGCATGACAGCTGGGTGCTGGGTCTTGTTACGCATTTAGCTTCAGAGCACGTACTCTTGCGCATACCGCTCAGCAGGTCAGATCGCCCAGAAAGGATGCAATGAAGGTGGCACACAAAAAACTTACGCCTTCGACAGAGCTGTCCACCAATGCTTGGCTCTGCTACGTGTTAAGCTTTCCTGTGCTGAGAACTAATCAGTCTTCCTCCACTCCCTGTGCCAAAGCCATATTATTAAGATGTGTGCATGATGGAGGGAAGTCAGATTCCTACTGGTGCTACTGCTCAGTTGCCAAGACACTTCGCCTTCCTCTCTGTATGCCTGAAACCAGTCTCTGCCCTGCTGGGTAACACAGCTGGAAATCCACCTCAGGAAAGCAATGCCCAAAAGCTAAGCACTGTCACTTCGCTGAGCATGGGAACATCCTTCTCTGGCCTTCTGCCCTGTGCTCTGGGTACATGGTCAGCAGTGCAGCTCAAGACTGAGCACGCCTCCCAGATAAGCATGGGGCATCCTGCTCAAAAGGTCCATCTGAGAGCAGAGCTTTTGCTTTCCTGAACATAACCCAGAGGTTCAAATGAGGAGAGGGGCATCAAGATGCTGCCTTGCAAGTGCACCAGGGCCCCCAGCTCTTGGCATTGCCCCTTTCTGCTGCAGCACAGTGCCACTAGTCACAGAGCTCATGCCAGCTGCTTCACTCCTCAGGCCTTCAAGTCAGCTCTGGACACCAAATCCCTACGGTGGCACTGTCAGGACACAAAAGCACATAGCTTCAAGCCCATCTTACATACCCATCCCTACCGATACGTACCTGAGAACATACTGAGTCACCAGCCGATGCAGTGATCAATAGGTAGAGTGGACACCTTCTCCTGTCTCTGTACACCCATGCCACACTACTGTATGGCATGCAACTGCCTTGGTTAGGCCACCAGTGGGGCAGAATTGATTAGTAAGAGGTAGGGTGGCTGTTCTGAAGGTCACACACTGCCAGCACCCCTGAGAATTATCACTGCGGAACCTGAAGGGAAATTAAAACAGGAAACCCTGAATTAAATTGTTTTGATGAAGCCCTCAGTAACTCTTACTTCCCACACATGAGAGCAGAGCTTTTTTTCTGACCATTTCTCCAAGCCCTCTCTGCCACCACACAGAAGCTCCTTGCCCCACACATGTACAGAGCCAAGTTGTGTATGCTGCGAGACGAGCTTACAGGCGCTTTTGAGAGTACTTTCCAGATTTGTACCCAGAGTTTTGCATCTGCAGATGCACACATGCAGACCCGTCTAGCTGCCCCAGTTTCCACGCACAAAAACTCACTTATGCTTTTTTTTTCTATCCACCCGTTTGAAATCAAAGATGCAAATTGAGAAGGAGGCTCTGAATACTTGAAGAAGACAGTCCTACCCATCACCCACTGATGCAACCCGGGCTATAGAGAAGGGCCCAATTGTCCCCAGTGCTGCCTGCCAACATGGGCTGCAGACTTCAAGCAGGTGGAGAGGGCGCAGACCATTTCTGAAAACTATACTCCCACTTTCTTCTTTCTTTTACAAGGTCAGATTTTTTTTTTGGTGATGGTCATGGTCAGTAACACTGGCAAAAAGTCAATTTTAGGAACCCATTTAAGGAAACAGGCACTGTTGCTGGGCAACATCTGACAGGAAATCCTGCCTGCATCCATAGTATTGCACAGAATCACATGCCACATACTTTTTAATGTTTTTTGATAGATGATTTCCTCTAGGACTCACCAAAACTGGGAAAACTAGCTTCAAGCTCCAGAATTTGTATGAGAAAGCGGTGCAAGTACCACAATGACGAGATGAAGTTTTGGGCTTTCTCTATTATTTTGCTCCTCTACATTAAGACGACTAGTAGAAAGAACACATAAATCAATTCATTAACTCATCATGTAAGTACTGTTTTATCAACTGATTTACAAATATATATCTAACATAGAAATTTAAACTGGAAAAAAACATGATGACACTCGGTTTCAGCCTGCAATAAAGTTGTAAGACACAGTCATTTGGATCAGCGTCTCACAGTCTGCAGTCACTAAAACAGATGTTTTCAATCTCAACCGTAAATAAAGCAAATGCCCTATTGAAAAAACAATAGATTATTCCCTTACTTCCCTGCCTTGTCTTTGCTGCAGCATTGCTTAAAATTATTCAATCATATGAAATTGGAAAGTTTATTTGATCTAAAAAACCTAGAGGTGGGACGCCCGACTCTAAAGGCACACACAGGGGATGCTCTGACACCCGCTTACAGAGGTCAGCTCTGCTAATGAAATTCCAGTATGCAATGTCTATCCATAGGAAGTGAGAGAAATCCTTCCAGGTAGCTGTGGAGCAAACAAACACGTTAATATTGGGATGAGCCACTTGGTCAGCATTTGCTCCCATAGTGATGTGGGCAACAAGAACCTCAGATGCCTGTGAATGGGGTGAGCTCTGGTGGGGGCATAAGCTCTGAAACCACCCAGCCTTCCTGGGGTCTCCCTTGGGCAATGTACCCCTCCCTTACAACCCGCTCCGACCAACGCTTCCTCTCAAGCCCTTGCTTTGTCCCTTGCAAGTTAAACATCCAGGACTGCAAAAGATACATTGTGGGGTTGCTGCTAGGTCAGGCAGCTGAGCGTGAGATGGAATGCCCTGTGTCCCTCACCTCCTCCAGCCCACTCCATAAACTGCAGGCTCCATGCTCTGCTTGGTTCAGTGTCCCTGCCTGACTCACAGAGCAGGGCATGGTGTGCATGAGAGGAAATACGTTAGAATTCGTTCTGTTTTAGTGCATGAAGGCTGCAAAAATAACCACGTTTTTCTGTAATAAGAGGTTCATTAGCTCTTCTGTTGATCAGCAGGTGCTTTTTAAAGAAAGCATTTCTGGACCAGCTGTAGACTTAATTGAGGCAAATCATGTCATTTGTTTGAACTGCTCTATTTGCACAGCTCCACACTTAGCTTGCAGAAGAAGCTGAAAGATAGCATCGATCCTTCAAGACTGTGTGGTGTACATGGCTCCAACACATGCTGCCACCTGGGTATCTTCTAGGACCAGGGACTTTTGTTCTGAGATGTTGCTGAGGCAGTGGGTCTGTCTGACAATGACTGCAGCATGGCCCTGGCAGTCAGGGGCCGGGCAGTGTTCATCAGCCCAAACCTCTCCGAGGCTTTTGAGGATGAGTAGACAGCTGGCTTGTGGTGGTTGATCTCTTCAGGAGTGCTCTCATCCATGATGGGCCTGAAGAAAAGAGAGAAACACTGAGGTGAAATTGCACTCTGGGTCTGTATATCTGCATTCTCTCCACCATCTCTGCTGTCTCCAGCTCTGAAAACTGAACCAAAAGCTGCGAGGCCTGGGACCAACACAAGGCACACCAGTTTCCCGCACAAGGCATGCGCTCTCTGCCTATGCTGCTCTATAATGACCACGTTAACTTCAAAATAAAGGTGTCATGTCACAATTCCTCAGTTTTATTTCCTCAAAGAAGCAACACGATGCTAATCTTACAGTAAGTGGATTCAGAAATAACCACATGTTGGTGAATGGGACACTTCTCATAAATGCCTTCTTTATTTTCCAAAGCTCTTGCTAACATTTTCAAGGGGAAAAAAAAATGAAGTGGGATGCCAAGAACTTGTCCTGGGGTTTACCCATGGAGAGTCTTGAACGAGTGCCACTACAAGAGCTCTCCAACAGACATGGGCATCAGCCTTGTGTGGAGAACATGAGAATGCAGCAGTACAAACACAGGAAAATTCTGGACTATTATTCAAGAAAATACAAAATTTCAAACACTCAAGCTATAAGGAACATGAGAAAATGTTTCATTTAGCCTTAGATGGACAAAGGTAAATGTCAGCCCAAATAAAAGGAGTCCTTTTTACAGAACAGGCAGGAGACTCCAGAGACAAGACAGAAGTCTGCGATTTCCTGCTGTGAAGGCCCTTCTGTTTTCCCCAACCATGCTGCAGGCAGTGCTGCTGGCAGCATGTATACCTGATGCTTGTTGAACCAACAGTTGCTGGTCCTGAAACAGGACTTTGCCGACTGATGCTCCAAGCAGGCTGGCGCTTCCCTCGGCATCCAGAGGCAGTTGGCACGCTGTGCTGGCTCTGGAGAGCAAGTTCTTTGTGCAGAGGCTGGGCTGAAGTTTCTTGATGAATCCTTGAGTGGCATTGCTGTGTCCACTGCCTGTCCTCCTCTTGGCTGGGTATTTTTAGGCATCTTACCCTGTAGTTTCTCATTTTCCTGGGTCTTGCTGCAACACCCATTACAGATGCAGGTGAAGGGCTTTTTGGAGGGGATGGAATTAGACAATGGTTCAGGTTGGTAAACCCTGCACCCTGAGCCTGTGATGAACCTGAAACAGGGAGGGAAGTGCAGTGATTTACCAGTTCATCTTAATCCTAAATGACCGACCCAGTAAATGAAAAGTTTCGGAGAATGCTGGGTGGACAGATGTGTCCCAGGACACACAGCGATGCTGGCCTTGGTGAATTGCTTCTTCTGATAGTTGGAGGTTTGGGTTACTCAGCAGCCTCCCTGTCAGTACAGCTGGTGATGTGCCAAGCACTGGAACTGCTCATGAGCTGTGCATAGCACAAGAGGGACAGACCAGCTCACCGATGCTCTCGTTCTCAGGCAGGATCATACCTGTATCATTCCCGGCCAGTGTTTGCACTGGTTTGTTTTAAATACCTGAGGACCCCATTCAGTGATCTCAAATTCAAGGCACAGAAATAATCACAGATGAGTGGACCCACTTTTTTTTAATCAGAGGCAGAGGTGTAAGAATAAGATCTTGATATTAGCCTTCAAATTATGGAAGGAAAAATCTTGTTGCTGACTTAGTGCATGAATATATGCTTAAAACTATTCTATACATAGCAGGGATCCAATTGCTTTTGTCTATTAAAAGAACCAACTGTATCTAAGTGCCTGATGTGCAGGATCCAGGGTAGGAACACAATCTAAAGAATGTGTCACCAAAACCCAGGCCCAGAAAGTTCGGCTTTATAGCTCCTAACTGATGGGGATGTATTGTACTCATTAGGTAACTACATAAAGCTGATATAAAATTTTCACTGAACATTTTCCATCATACTATATGCTTTTAAAATGTCTCGATTTCATAGAGTTTTTTATTTGATTTTAAGTAAAGACACTCTGAAAGACTGGTTTGCCTGACTCAGGAGCCCAAAATAACACTCAACAACTTCCAAAGAGTGCAGATTATATGGATCTGATGCTGCAAACACTTTTACATAAGAGCAGTTTTGCTCAGATGACTTGTCCTTTCCTGTTTAGAAGGATTGTTTCCAGCGACAAGTTCTTCTGTGAGAAAAATCATATTGGGTAGGACACATGTCTGAAATTAAGTGCTGAGGCATTTAAATACCTCTCCAAATCTTGACACAGTCTCAAGTCACAAAGATCAAGTGTATTTTTAACTGCCTTGCTGAATGAAGTCTATCAGTTGGTAAATTTTTATCAGGCATTTGCTCTGCAAAACACGTATGTCTACTAGTGACAGCCAGCAAAGGCTACTGTGTTTATGATTATTTGCATCTTGGTTTTTATGGCCAGCTGCTTGTGATTTGGGACCTGGGTCATCTGCTCCCTCCCCTCCCCCTTACGTAATACTAGATTTCAAACCACTCCATCAATCTTGTAACCAAATCCTAGAAGATTTGTTTACAAGATGAGTAGATCTATCCTAAACCACTCACTGTCATAGTCCTATAGGGCATGACTCTGGTACACTGTGAGATGTTTGGGGCATTGTCTACTGAATCTACAAATCGGCATAATAAAAAATACCCAATCTAAAGAAATAATATTAAATCTAAAAAAAAATCAGATTTATTCTAACGAGACAATGAGATCATAATCTAAGACTTCTATGGTCACTGGACAATAGGCCATTCCTTTAGATTTTTCCAAACAGCTTCTGTTCTTGTTAAGGGGATATTGCTTATATTACTGTTAACACAGAGACACTTTAAATAGTTTAATGATATTTCTGTTTTTTTTCCAAAATATATTTTATTTTTCCAAATTTTAATAGATGCATTTTTCCCTTGAAAGAAATGTAAAATGAAAACTCATGCTAATATTTATTGAGGCAAAAAAAAGTGATTATTAACAATAGAAATAGATTAAAGTTGTAATTTTGTAAGCTATTCTACCTGATATGTATTTGGAATAACCATTATTAATGTTTCTAATATTCTTAAATATGATATCCAACAAGTAGTGAAGAGTGGGGATTCTGCTTTCATTCATGTAAATGCAATTCCAGAGAGGCCTTTGCTTTGTTCCTGAGTAGAAGAGCATGTTTCATTTTTGAACTCTTTACTGAATGCATCCCTTTGGTTGCATACCTTTCCAGAATTCCCAGTTGCCCAGTTAAACCTTAATCATTAGCTCAGCCATTATTTCCATCAGTGCCGACTGGGGTAAAATATAGCTCAGTTGGAATGTGTCCTGGTTTGAGGTCTGGGGTGCCCCATGTCCCCAGTGGTCAATTCAGCTTAGACCACAACAGAACAACAGTATTTTAGACTCATCTGGCATTGCCATAAATGAGTGACACAAGGTAAAAGACAGTGGCATGTCCTTCCTCTAGACCTGATGCTAAGCTGGTGTAAGATCAGCTTTGTTTCTCTTAATTCTACAGATCCATGATGAAATACATCAACTGATGGTCAACACAGCTGGCCACCATGTCCTGCTTAAAAACGGGAATGGATTACATAGAGTCTGGCTCTGCAATGATATTTCCAAATTGCTGCTCTAGAGCACAGAAGCCAGAGCTCATAAAACACCGCAGTTACTAATACACCTATCTACAAACGGTTAGTAGCATGTGCCACTTCCCCGATGCTAACCCTTCCCCAGAGGTTTAGGTCCAGTACCTGAGGAAGACTGAGAGAGAGAGGAGTGGCAAGAAGAATCAAGTGAAATCCTTTCAATGAGGTCCTCATCACAGGTCTCCTTCAACTCATCTTCAAAGTTGTCAGTCAGGCTGCAGTCTTCACCCACTTCCTCATCGCTAAGAGATACCTTCAGTGCTTGGGCGGCTTTTTCTTGCTGACCTGTTTGCTGGCACCTGGACAACATCAAGTATCACACCTTTAGTTAGCCTTGGAGTTGTGAATATGCAGCTAGCCAAGTGCAGCTTTACATGGCCACACAGGCAAACACTCAGGCAGTGGATTTAGTCACCCACTATGATTTCCCACTTTCCTGGAGGTATAGAAAATCATTCTAAATGGATCAGCTGTCTAATCTGCCTGTGTCTGATTATCTGAAAGTGTCCTAAAGCTAACAAAGCAAAATGGGACAGATGTAACATACCAGACAGTGAAGTAAGCTCAGAGAAACAAAGCCATTTTTACTTCCAAAACCACCATTATCTGTCTATGAAATGGGGGAATCTCAGTATGACATTATTTTCCTTTCAGCCTTTCATTTGTTTAGGCTAATGTGATGCTTGCAGAAAACCTCATCCACTTTCACTTCTTTTACTGTCTGAAGATAGACACTGTCAGAGCCAAGAATGTCTTACCAGTTATGAAAAGTCATTTCCTTGCTCTCGCTAAGCAAGCGAGCCCACTCTGCCTATGCCGGTCTTCAGCCTGCTCTAGAGAGACATCAAAGCTTCCCCCACGTTTCTTCTCCCTAGCCACCCCGCAGATGCTCCAGCGGGGAGGACTAATTGCCACCACAGGGACAGGAATGCAGGAGGCCAAGACTATCCCCTGAAACCGCCACCAGGTGGCCAAAGAGTTTATTTTATTATTGAAGCAGAAAAAGAATGCCTTGTTTTATTGTACAAGATTTCTCCCGTGGTCTCACCGCTTGTGCTGCTCTCTCCATACTCTTAGTTCAGAGAACATATCTTCCTGGTGCAGATCTCCTCCTCTTCCAGAGGCGTAAAGGTTTTCTGTCCTCAGACTGCACAGTTTCAAAGGGCTCACTGCAGGTGCCTGCAAAAATGACAGAAATTATCTTGATAACCTCAAGAGCTCTCCCCAGCTCCATTTCTAGATTGTGGATTTTAGAAGGCATCAAAGTCCACTGTTACTGTTGAGTTTTCAGATCACTCCTCACCACCTTCTTGCTCTTCAGTTTTAAGAAGCCCCGCACCTCAGTCACGTGCACTGTTACAGCTTGAGGAACCCAGGTGGCAGTAACAAAAATGTTAATTTATATCTCACTGGCATATAAGCCTGTAGCACCTATACCAATAAGCATATTAAGACCAGTACCGCAGAAACTGCATCATTCGGCATATGACCACCGTCCCCTTCCACATCCTAGTTTACAACACACAGTAATTCACCCAAATTTTCAGATTTGTTTCAGAAAAGCTTCCCAGTGCTCAGGCAGTGGCAGCAGAGAGACAAGGGAGGGACACATATTTTCCAGTGGTTCTTTAACATCTGTTGTCAGCATTAAGTGCGCTGCCGACAGCGCAGTGATGCAGGTGTCCTGTGCATGCTGTTTCCCTGATTTAGCACAGCCTGTTTAAACATATGCACGTGCATCCGTGCTGTATTCAACCTCAGGGCCCACAAAAGCTAACCATGACGAGCCAGACTGCACCTCTTTACACAGATGGGTATCCTCTCACTAAGTCACTGCCAAAACAAGCAGGGTGACCTGCAGGACTGGGGTACCACCCCACTGCCAAGAAGAACAAAGGTTGGCTTTGTGTTTGTTTAGTCAATAGGAACGACCTTGCAGCAATAGTGATCTGACTATTTATGCCAACATCAAAGAAGCACTGCTGAAAAAAATCTTTTGCTTAATAGCTGTTGTAGAAATACCGTCAAATTTTGCAATCCTGCCCTGCGCTTTGCTCGGGCAGGATGATAGGAAATGTGCCGTCAGCAGTTGATACGTGATTTTCACATGTTCATTTACAGCTGATGGTTAATTGCTGCTAGCGCATGGGCATCTTTGTAACATCAGGGCAAGAGACTCTCCATCCTCTTCAAGACCAATTGCCTGTTGGGGGGCTTTTGGGTTACAGAAGAGAGTGAGCTGCCACAAGCCACAGTGGGAATTCAGTTTATCCCAGGATTTATGGGGGTCACCAGGCAGGAATATGAAATATACAAGGAAAACATACACCCAGCTTTTGCCTCCTTGCATGCAGGGCCTTGGTAGGGTTCCCACATATAACTTGACTGAGTCCTAAGAAAAAAGGTAAAAAGAAAGTATTTTACTCTAGCGTTTAACAAATGGTGCTGTCTTTTACATCAGTCAGCATCATTCTGCATAGACAGGAATATGCAGTACTTCATGGCGCAGGTTCACTGTGTCACCTGGCATGGCCTGGCACTGCTGCTGAGGTAGTTTCTCTGTTTCTACCAGAACCTTTCTCCTGCTCCTGCTCTGCCTCCTCCACTATGCTGGTGCAATCATTTGTGTGGCGACATGGTGAGTCAGATCAGGGAACAGATCCAGATTAAAACTAAATATGCTTTCAGGGTTTTTGTTTGTTTGTTTTGCTGGGTTACTTTTCAGCTGGATCTCAATCAGAATCAGGTTTCCCATGTGACTACGCAGATGCTCTTGCCAAAACAAGACAACAGGCAGCAAAGGGGCAGGAAGAAGCAGTGAACATTGGGTGAAACTGTCTCTTATCAGTAGTGCTAGCTACTTAAAAGTGCACGTGAAATTACGGTCTCATTCCCTGGTGAGCTGTACTCAGTTTCCATGTACTTTTCTGAATGTGCACTCAGCTGTTCACATTGCATCTAATTCATCATCCTGAGTCCTACCTCCAGCAAGGAACTGAGATGGGACTGGCACCTGAGAGGAGAAGCAGCTCACAATGCTAGGAAAACAAACACGATCTTCCTATCTAACCTGCACTCTATGGGCCAGTGGAGTTGCACCATCAAGGCCTTTCCAGGATCCAGGGAAGGATGTCTTGGGAAGTGCCAAATATTGTACCAGAAGTTAACTCCCTTTTCATCCAGTTGTCCCGAGGAGCTGCTAACTTGGCAGTACTTCCTGGTGGCCAGGGCATGAAGGGCAGTGGTACACCTGTGTTTTAGGCTAGCCTGTAGATCAGGTACGTGGAGTCAAGGAAGTGACTCTTGCCAAGGAACCCACCCTTGGATACCCAAACGAAAGTGCTCATCAACAGCAGTGCTGCTGCTGCAGTAGGAGACTGCAGTACACATAGTTTGAGCACATGATCCAATGGGGAGTGAATGTGCATCACCACACCTTTCTAGGGGACTCCCTTGGACCACATTCCTATGACTCAACAAGATGTGCCCAGATGTGACTTAAGTTAACCCCAGCTAGGCTGATGTGTAATTTAAAGGACTGAGCAGGACAGCTTTTGATGAGGTGTGAAAGGCAACTTCAGCAAGGGAGCACCATTGGAGTATGGGGCTGTCAAGAGGGACAACAGCACATAATGCATGGGGGTAAGGGGCTGAGGAAGGGGAAGCCCAGATGACTTGCACCTTCTGCTGCAGAGAGAAACAAAGGAAAGCCCACGCTAGAGCAGGTGAGTCCCATGGAAGAAAACATATGCTGAACCTGATCTAGTAGCAGCACAGGTGGGTGGTATTCAAAGCACCCAGGCTTTTATCAGTAATAGTAACATTCAGAAGGAGGTGGAGGTGTGGGAAAGAACAGGATTAAAAAACATACATTACCATGTGTCAAATCACTGGAGTCATCTACTGTGAACAGCTTTTTAGAAACAGCGGGATTTGGAAGAGGACAGCCGCCATACAAGAGGCAGGCACTGCTAGATCTCCCTGCATTAGCAGACCACTGTGCAGTTCCAGGTCTGGTAGTTGTCGGGGGTCTTGGGCTGCATCCAGTCTGCCTTGCTACTGCCCCAAGATATGGATCTAAGAGAGAGGTTTTGCCAGTGTAAGCACAGTCATGCAAATCTTCAAACCACACCATCACTGTAAATTGTAAATATGGTGACTGCTGCTGCACACCTAGAGCTGTAAGGGACAGAAAAATATGTCATTGCAGCTACAAGAAACATGCTGGTATGAGTCAAGACTGGAGATAGAGGGTTTCCTGGTGCTGCATGCAGTCCCCTGTAGCTGTCCTCTGCTGATGGCAGAATCTTTGACAAACCAAAGTCCCTTCCCACCTACCTCCTGCTCCTGGACACCAGAGACTGGCTGCTGGTTGAATATGAGGTCAGGAACCACTCTGTGCTCGCCATCCACCTATGACTGCCCCATGAGTGAGCCTGGATGTGTCCAAGGCTCTGCTACTTCCCCTGCCTGCATGCTTAGGGTAAGAGCAAGCTGCCCATCTGCCTGCGGGGGAACCACTGCAGGCTTTCCACAGGTACAGCGCAAGCCCCCAGTCTTAAAATATATTGCTTAAATGCCCAGGCACAATGCAGATGGTGACAGCCACCTTACCAGAGCTACTAGTCAATCAGGGCAAATCACATATCAGGAGCTATGGAAATCTGGGAATGGCAGTGACAGATTTTTCCAGTATTGCCTCAGAGATAGATACTTCTCTACCACAGAAAGAAAGGCAAAAACTGGGTTTTTGTAATACTACAGGGCAGGGTGGATTATATAAAAGCTAGCGAAGGCAGACAGAGCCTTGTCCTCTCACGTGCCCAACTGCCGTCTGTCCTGGGAGCACAGCACAGCTGTAAGAGCAGCATGTGCAGTCAACAACTCATAGGAGAGCAAATTTCATTTCAGTACCTAGATAAATAGCGTGCTTTGTAAAGTGTTGAGCATCTACCAGCTCCACAGTGGAGCAATCAGCTCTGTAATAATATGGCCATTTCCTTAAGACCTGAGTGTTAGGGACCTTTAAAATATTTTGGCCATAGTTGTTAATACAAACCCATGAAATACACAGTACATGAAAAGTACTTCAGTCAACATTGCTATAGGAAAGAAAAAAAATGCAGATGTCTGAACCTGACTATATGAGCTCATCAGTTTAGAGCCAAATGCAAGAATATAAGTCTGGTTACACCAGGAAACAATACAAATTCCCAATTTTGTGCTCCGTCCCTACTGTTTCTGTCAGTTCACTGTGTTAACTAGTTTTCTGAACCATAGCTGATGTTGCCAAAGCAGGATCACTAAGGGATCAGATTTTAATGGATTTTTTCCCTACCATAACTACTATTACAACTAATGATTTGGACCCACAGGGATTGAATAAATGACAAGTGTATGTAGCTATTCCAAAACAAACTAAATTTTTAATGGAGTACAGCTGGCAGGCAAACCACAACTGGGGTGCCTGGGAAGCCAACTGCATTGCCCACACTAATGGGAAGCAATAGGAGCAGTTATAGGAAATACTTTGTAATATTTAATGGTACATGGTAAAGTGCATGTAGCATGATACATAAAAGCATGGACATTTGAACTATAACCAAGGCTACAGGAGAGGGGACAACAGATTTACTTTCAAACCATTTACTCTCTACTAATGAATGTAAGGGGTTTAGTCACAGAGCCAAAGAAAATGGAACAGATCTCTTACAAGACTATACAATCTCAGTTGCTAGGATGTTGCTACCATTGAGAAGTGGTGACCAAATTGCCTTTTCTATTATTAAATCGGAGTAGGAAATCCTGCTACATCCATGCTACATGGGATTGACTGCTACCGTGGAAAGGGCTGTGAACATCTGTTATTGAAACATTCCTTTTAAAGCTTCACTTCTTTCCGTCATGAAGAATGAACGCTAAGTACAAACTCCCAGCTACTACTGGATTTGCTTGATACTCTAGAAGTAACCTGTATTTTTCTGATCTTGATGCCCAGCTTAGGACAGCTTTCATTTGAATCTGCACAGTGCTGTCCTGGTTCCTGTGGGGATAGGGTTAATAGGTCCTCTGCCAAGGATCTGGCAGAGGACACAGGTATTCCATACCATGTGAGCCATGCCCTGTCTATAGCAGGGAGCTGGCCATGGGAGGGGGCAGGAATTGAAGCTTGGGAGGTGGGCTGGGGGCTTCCTGGGTTCAGTCAGTGACCAGTGGTACAGTAATCATGTTTGTACATTCCTCTATAAGTGTTATTGCTGTTGTTTTCCTCTTTCCTTTGCTGTTCTGTTAAATTGCTTTTATCTCAACCCATGAGTTTTGCCTTTTTCTTCCGATTCTCCCCCACAGCTGTGGGGGGCTGAGTGAACAGCCGTGTGGTGCTTTGTTGCCGGCTGAGGCTAAACCATGACAGGTGCTCAATTCCAGCTTCCTCACTTCCCAAGCGAAGATGACAACATCCTTCATCCTTTCGCTACAATTAAACGCTGGCTTTGTAGAGGCCTGGTTGCTCTTCCTCTTTCTTTTTCACACACCATAACCTGAAAAATTAACCCTGATAGGAAACCTGACTTACCTAACCATGAAATGTCTCTAGCTAAACCACCTTCCTTGATGGATTCCTTGATGATTAGCCAATCCTCATGCATCTTCTTGGAAGGAAGGAGAGCTGTCTGGCTTGCTGGTATTTCATCCAAATACTCCAAGTGGGGAATGAGTTTTTTTACTTCAGCTCTGTAATTATAATCTGGTTCCTGGAAAAATTGAGAAAGTGGTCACTTGAACAGTTTATTTAACAGACTGTGGACTTCCACCAGCAGCACAGCAGTATTCAATTTCTATGATTGCCATATAACTTGAAATCCCTTCTACGAGGTAAACCTATTCACCTCATTCAACGGAAATAAGTACAGCCCAGAGTTTCATTTCACTGTCCTTTCTTCTCACACAATTTCTACTTGAATTGATCGTGAACATGTCCTGAGCAGTGCAAATACATGCCCCCCACCCAAAGGCTCCTTTACTGTTTACCCACTGATGACTCTGGCATTTGTCTTTGTCATATTATGTATAACGTACAAAAGTGTAGAAGGCCACTGACGCCCAGGGAAAGCCTGTGGACCCTCAGCATTCAGCCAGCCCCTCTCTCCACTTTTGCGATTGTCTGGTTGTTGCATCAACACTAAGATGACAGGAAGACTTGAAAACATGTTACGAGTGTTGCTACACCTGCTCATGGAAAAAGAAAGAGCATTTCCATGGATTGTGTTTTCAGGCACACCCGTAAACCAGCTACAGTGAATGAACCGCACTGATCTTCTGGGGCAGTCTTCAGGGGTTTGGGGTGTGATTTTACACACTGTTAGAAGTGATGGCTTACTTCAAACTATGTTTTCATCTTCAAGAGGTCACATGCCAACAGCAGGTGCACAGAAGGCTAAAATGGACTGCACTTGGGTTTCTTTTCTGTGTGCTGAAATAAACCCGCAATTGCTCCCAATGCACGTGAACTCAGTGTGACCGCCATGGGGGAAAGTACGGGTGCAGCCCCCTTCTGCATGCATGGGTGGAGCTGACATGTTATAAAATGATTCACGAGCACAAGCCAATACCTGGGGACATCTGAGCAGCAAGTCCAATCAAGAACAGTTAAAACTGGGCTCAGAGCACACTGCGAATTGAGATGTTTTGGTGGATTCCAGCAGTAGAAAGACACTTTCACGCGGCACCTTTGGTAAAACTTAGCAATACCTCAGGGCTGACTGGGTTATGCTGCTTTGCAATGGGAATATTTTTGGCTAAAATATTTTCAGATTACAAAAGGCAGTAAACTGTGATGGCGATCTGTTCTACTTAAAGAAAGTATAAAGCAAAAATGCACTGATAGTGGCAGAATATGAATGGACAGCTACCTACAAATCAATTGCTTCGTCCAGCTAAATGTTATGCTTTTCAAGACATTGCATGCAATATTAGAAAACCACACAAAGCCAAGTCCTCATTCAACACGGAGTTGTCACAAACAGAAATCTTTTTGTGGGACCTGGCTGGCTGTATGCTTCCTCCCTCTGCATGATGCAGTACCAAGGCTGGCAGAGGGAACTCACCAAATAAAGCTTATGTTGTTGTTAAGAGACAGACATTAAATTTCTCTAACTAAGCCTTTAATCTTAATTTAGAAAATGAGTCAACCAATTGCCATGCTACCCCGTACCACGTGTACTCTGAACCGTGCCTGGGCTTCAACCAATTTCCAGCCATGTCCTGTTGGACAGAAGCATCATGTTACGCTCATGTTACATTACTGCAACAGAGGCTGCAGAATTTATCATCAGGTTGTTGCTCTTGGTTTAGATAACAGGGGAAGATGACCTCATCTGAAAATCAAATTACAGAGAGCAAACAGGCCATCTGAAGAAAGAGCAGTAAATTTAGATGGACCATTCTGTAGATTAAAAGTAAATAAATAGGAGAGCTTTTACAGAGCTGCAGCAAGGGCCAAACTACAAGAAGGAGCTTGAGGAATTAGATCTGGCCATCTAGGGCACACCAAAATAAGCCCACATCTATTATTCTCTATATTTCAGGTGGCTTTTCTACACCCTGAAGAAATGCAAACAACATTGGTTGAAACCAAGAAAGTGACAAAGCTCACAGAGAATCTCTCAGCAGCCAAGGGCAGGGCCAGCTTTGTAACCACCCCAGGGCTAAGCAGCTTCCCAACACGGAGGTTGGGTGGGAGACTACAGTGAACTTGCAGTCTGCCTCTGCTACAGCTCGGTGTAAAACATACCATTGTGCAGAGTCCCTCAACGAATTTAGGCTGGCATGTGAATGCAACTACTTGCACAGGAGTAAAGACAGCCATTCAGTGTGAAGGCAGTAGGGCACACCGCTACATACCACTCCTCTTTGAACTCCCACTATGTGACGACACGCAGCAGCATGCCAAGGACTGATTTCCTCAGCTAAACAAGCCAAGGGCAATCTGACATTTCTCCATTACAAATACATTTAAGGAATGATGATGCCAAGTGAAAACTACATCCTCCAAAAATACCACTTTCGTTGAGCAGGAA